CATTAATTCGGACTATTGTCCTCATCTTTTTGCCATATTTATCCGATCCTTCAGTATCTTCTATATTTCTGAGATGATTCAAATTATGTTATTTACATTATTCGGACTATTGTCCATCATTTTTGTTACCATATTTTAAAATTCATACACTTTTTTTGGTTTATCCATTGTGCCATTTATGAATTTGGCATTTTTGGATAAAAAAATGTTTGTTAAATTCTGGGACAGGACCCAATTTATTGTGAGTTCAATAGCTGGTTAAAGGTGGAGAACTTGGAGCAAACAAATTAACAACTGATAAATGACATTCATTAGACATGACACGTGGAACTAGAAATTTTACCCCAAGCAAGCGAAATAAAATTTTTAGTTCGACATTCCAACCAGCTGAAGAAGGCCGGAGCGTACAACGGCTGAAACGTTGTGATAAAAATGGCAACAAAGATGAGGACAATAGTCTGAATACTCTAAATAGTGTAAATTCATAATGTAAAAAGCATATTTTCTTGTAAGTGAATATTGAGAACTCGACTGGGAATGGAAATCGGCTCTCCGATTTCAAATTCTGAGTTATTGTCCATTACAGATCCAAGACTACACCAGCTGGTTTTTCGCTTGCGATCATCCATCTATGTACTGCCCAGGCTTCGCCAATCACTAGGCTTGACGTCGTGGTCGCACGAGAACCGGTGTTCGACATTGATATGACCTTAAGCCTGACCAGGGCGAGTCTTCAAGCCGGAGGAGGTCTACTGCGGCCTTTATTTTGAGAAGGATAAAAAAATGAGTTGAAATTTTAACTTTTCAAGAAATTTCTGCATAAATGACCCCCCACACACACACACACAGACACCGAAATAGATGGAAGGACCTAATCAGCAACCCAGTCGCGAGGCGACCTTATGACCACATGCCCTCATGCAAATGATGATGATGATGATGATGATCATCATCATCTTTTTGAATATATTTTTTTACAACAGCAAATTCGAATTAGTTGTTTTCTTCCTTGAACGAAATTAGCACTGCTGCACGATCTTCCTCTTATTTTACTGTTTTATACGAATACTTGTAAAATCCTCTTTAGCTTGACAAATATTATTGTGATTCGATGAGATTTCATTTCTTAAATAATCGACCTCTAAGAAACAGTACTTTGAGTGGGTGGGTGATTGGTTTGTTGTAGAGAGTATACTTTAAGATTAACTATAAACTAGGGTCAACCGTAATGATCGATTAAATCCTCAAAACTGAATGGAAGCTAATTTCTCGAGACGACGCTGTGACTTTTCTAAAAATCATTCATTCGGCTCAGACAAGCCAGATCACCGAAGCTAATTATCTAATTCTCTATATTCTATCGTATATTTTTATCCCCCCACTCTTTCTGATTCCAACCAATCAAAAATCATTTTTATTTCTCTCAGACCATTTCTATCTATATAATTATATACTAACTTTATTTTAGCATATCACAGGACCTACATCACTAATCCCCGATTATCACTAGACTAAGATTACTTACTAAATCATTACGAAACCAGTTAATACCAGATAAAGATAACTGGTGATAAGAGGATTGTCTTCCGCCAGTTTTGCAAATCGGAACGGTATATCTGAACAGAAAATTGGCTTTGAGCTTAGCTCGAACACCGACCTCTGGCACCGACGGTGAATCCGTAACTGCTTCAGTTCGATTTGATCTGGTATCAAATTGCAGGAGCTGGTCGCTCAGTGAGACTGTCTGACATATTTTAATGTCTTATCAACCTGATGTGTGTTTTTTAAAGTTGAGATATTTTTTATTCTTTTTTTTTTTAATAAAAAATTAACAATTGTTTTTATAACACTAATTTTTCCCATATACAAATCCTACTATTTAATCTATAGCTGCAGGGAGGAGATAGATTCATGCCTTTGCCAAGTGACTGTCACTATCCCGACTAGAATTCGTACTCAGCTCTCCAATTCTTTATTCCGTGCCGGTATCGTTTAAATACCATTCAGTTAGCAAGCAATACGTATACAGAGGCATTTCATCGTAGTGTGATGGCGCATAGGCTAGACTCTCAGATCAATTACGACTAAGTAATAAGCACCATTCTCACTATTATATTTGTCATCTTGTGTCAAAATTTTCCTATGCTTAAAAATATGTAAACTAAGCTCAGTACTACGTTAGCAGCTATTCGACATTTTACCGTTAAAATGGCGTCGGTTCGGATTTAATTTGTCATCTCGTACTTCTGGCTTTTGAGACTCTTTCCCAGTTTCTTGCTTTCCAGTCAAACTTGATCTTCAAAAATGTAAATCCAGTGTCATTTGTTATCTTCTGTCGTCCTAACCCCAGTTCTTTTCTAATTCTTAACCCTAGAACACTAACCATGGGTATAAAAGGTATATGCAAATTTTCCTATTTTTAATTACAATTTTCAGTATATTGAGAATTTCTTACCTAAATAATATGTTTTTTCAGTTCCCTATTAATGTTAACAGGAAAAAGTACAAAGTTTGAAAGTGCCCGCATGTAAAATATTTCAAATAATATATATAATATATATATATATATATATATATATATGAAAAAAAAGGTGAGAAAAAATTGTTTTAAAAAAAAATCTTAATATGCAATTATGTTGTATTAATGTTAATATAAAGTCAACGTCCATCGTCTTTTTCATGTTGAATTTTATATGTTCTAATGTTAATTATGTTTAAATAAAATGTCCTGAAGATGGTCTAAAATAGACTGAAACGTCCGACGTTTTCCAATTTATATTAACATTAATACAGCATAATCGCATATTAAGATTTTTGTTTGTTTTTTCTGTATTTTTTCTTCATATAAATGCCGGATCTATATCCATATATTTATTACAGACAGACAGACACACACACACACACACACACACACACACACACACATATATATATATATATATATATATATATATATATATATATATATATATTCAAAATCGGATATGATATACCTATGTTTCGTCGTGGTGTAACTTTAATTCATGGTTAGTGTTCTAGGGTTATGTTTTTTTTCATATTATTTCAAAGTCAGTTATCCCATAGTTCTTAGTGGCCTTATTGCCTTGCTTGTGATGAAATAATAAAAAAAAACATACGTATATTGAAGGTGTATTCCAAAAAACAACAGAGAATGAATCATTACATAGATTTAAACACGTATATATATATATATATATATATATATATATATATATATATATATATATATATATATATATATATATATATATATATATTTTGACTGTATATAGAAAGTTGACTTAGAGAGAAAGTGAGTTAAAAACCATGCTTAGGCAATCATTTATCTTTCGATACATGACCGACGAGTTGCCATTACTTTTGTGGTAGACCAGTTGCCATCTAAGGCTATAGATTAACCCAGTCTGTGCTGCTATTTTTTTGAAGCGGGGGGAAGAAGAATAGGATTCATACCTTTATTTGGATATTAGCACGTAAGTGAATGTAATGGGTTCGACTGGAATTCGAACTCGGCTCACGATTCCTCAATCCGAGCCGTTGAAAAAAATATTATTACCATGTAACACTCTCTACTTTGAAGATTTTGATGATAAAATTTTGTTTTTATTAAGTTTTGGGAATTTTTTCATTATGTCCCTTCTTTTTTTAACGAAAGTTTATACATACAGTCAGTTATGAGACATGCGTGATGCACGCTTAGGTGATCATTTATCTTTCGATACATGACTGACGAGGCAGATTTTTTCCTGTAGTAGGTTGCCATTTCTTTCTGCGGTAGAGCAGTTGCCATCTAAAGGCAAAAAGAACCTGGTAAAAATGCTGCTATTTACCCATAAAAAAGGAAGAAGAGGATTGACCTTTCCCAAGGAAAATATTAGCAAATAAGTGAATGTAATGGATTCGACTGGAATTCGAACTCGGCTCTCCGATTCCTCAATCTGAGCAGTTATTCATTACTAGGCCGTGTCTCCCTGACTAGCATATATATACAGTGCTGTTCGATAAAAGTGACTCACCTGATTTTTTTTACCAAATGTTCTCTTCTCCAATGAAACGAAAGTTGAGCTAAATTCAAAGGATAAGCAATCTAAAATCTGAAGAAGAAGCTTTGAAAGCTCTTTGAATTTAGCAGTAAGTACTGTCAAGCATCCGTTCAGTATAATGTTCTGGTATAATGCTTTTTTCTTTTCATGGAACTGGTTTCTTAAAAACCTATTGAAAAGACCCTCAGGGAGCGAGCAGTACAAGAGAATTTTAGAGTCTTGTCTGCTCCCTTCTCAATTGAAAGGGTGCAAATCGACCCCACCAAGCTCATTTTTATGCAGGATAATGCTCCCTGTCACAAATCAAAATTGATGAAGGAATACTTTGATGAGAAGCAGGTGAGTGTTATGACATGGCCGCCCCAATCTCCTGACCTCAACCCCATAGAAAACTTATGGAGCATGTTGCTCAACTGCTTTCTCGAGGGCCTGTACTTTATAATGCTCCATAAGTTTTCTATGGGGTTGAGGTCAGGGGATTTCAAAGCTTCTTCTTCGGATTTTAGATCGCTTATCCTTTGAATTTAGTTCAACTTTCGTTTCATCGGAGAAGTGAACATTTAATAAAAAAATTCAGGTGAGTCACTTTTATCGAACAGCACTGTATATTAAAAAAAGACTTTAATTTGTGATTTTGTACAGAAAATGACCCATTTCAACGACAGCAATTAATGTATTAATGCAGAATAATAAATTTCTTTCTTTCGTTCGTTCGTTCGTTCTTTCTATCTATCTTCCAAGCGTAGCTTAGATGCGGCACGAGGCCGAAAGTATGGGGCACCCAGTGAGGATCGAACTCACTATTCAGTTGTAATTGTTCTAGCCAGACAAGCTTGCTAATCATTACATCACCTCGAGGTGCCTATCTATCTATCTATCTATCTATCTATCTATCTATTCTTTGTAGGCATGCTGTGGAGTTAAAAAATCAATTACTCAATCAGACATCTGTTTCTCCCCAGAGTAGAATTGAAAATGAAATAAGATGCGAGAATGATGAAATAATGTCGGACGACATGAAAGAGAAATGAAAAGAAGAAAGAATAACATAGAAGAGAAAGAAGTGTAGCGTGAAGAAAGAAAGAAAGAAAGAAAGAAAGAAAGAAAGAAAGAAAGAAAGAAAGAAGAAAAGAAAGAAAGAAAAAAAGAAAGAAAGAAAGAATATTTAGGGATGAGATGAAAAGAAGAAAGAAAGATTATGGAAGTAGAATGAAAAAAAATGGAAAGGACAGAAAGCAAGCAAACAAGAAAAAAAAAAGAATGAATGAATGAATGAATGAATGAATGAAAGGAAAGAAGAAGCAAAGAATATTGAAGTTTATTGAAAAAGGAGAAGGATGGGATGAAAAAAGGAAGAAAGAATATCGCAGTAGATTGAAAATGGGGAACAGGGACAGAAAGAAAGAAAAAAGAAAGAAAGAAAGAAAGAAAGAAAGAAAGAAAGAATGAAAGAAAGAATATTGAAGGTGAATGAAAATGAAAAAAGATGAGATGAAAAGAAAGAAAGAATTTTTCAAGAAGAATAAAAAATAGAAAAGAAAGAAAGAAAGAAAGAAAGAAAGAAAGAAAGAAAGAAAGAAAGAATAATGAAAGTGAAGGAAATAGGTATTGGTTGAAAAGAAAGAAAGAAAGAAAGAAAGAAAGAAAGAAAGAAAGAAAGAAAGAATATCGAAGTAGAATGAAAAATGGGAAAAAAGAGACAGACAGACAAAAAGAAAAAAAGGAAGAAAGAACTTTGAAGGTAATGAAAACGGAAAAGAAAGAATATCGAAGTAGAATGAAAACGGCACAGAAAGAAAGAAAGGAAGAAAGAAAGAAAGGAAGGAAGGAAGAAAGGGGAAAGAAAGAAAGAAAGATTTTCTTTGAATGAATAGAGAAATGAATAGAAAAAAGGTGTATGCTGAAATGGAATTGAAAAAAAGAGAAAGAATCGAAATTATAAAAAAAAAAAGAAAGAAAGAAAGAAAAAAAGAAAGAAAGAAAGAAAGGATATTGCAGGCGTCAGAAAAAAAGGGTTTAGGGAGAGACACTGATAAAGAAAGAGAACAGTAAAAGTTAAAAGAAGAGAGAGAGAGAGAGCATGTGATGAAATAGAAATAAGAAGGATAAGACAGAGTTATTAACATTGAAACAAGGAGGAATAAAAGACAAGAGAAAGCAAAAATGGTCATAGAAAGAATTTGTGAAGCACAGGAAGAGAGGGAAAATCGAAGTTTAATGAAAAAAAAAGAAGAAAAATATAGAAAAAAATAATAATTCTAAAAGAAGACAAAGACGAATGGAGCATTGTTTGTCCCCAGCCTTTTTCCCACCATTTCTGACTTGAGTTGTCGACAAACTCCACAAGCACAAGAAGCATCGCTGATAATCAGATCAGATCATGATTGTTATTATATCGATTTCTGACAGCTACAACATATCGAATATCGACCTTAGGGAAAAGTATCCAATCTTTCTAATGAAAAAATATAAATATATATATAATATAAATATATATATATATATATATATATATATATATATTGATGCTCTGCTTTGTAGACAAAGATTGACGAGGAGGATCCATATCAGTAAAGTATCCATTGATTTGTAAGACGCGCGTGTAAGGGGGTGAGAATTTTTGCTGCTTTCTCCTCTCTACCAACCAACCTGAGTTTGGGTGTTGAGTCAGTGAAAGCGGTTGTCTGGAAAATCGTTTGGTATCAGGAAAGAATTTTAATCCGATAGTTCCTATAAAGTAGAACTGACCGTTGCTCTCGAAAATCACCTCCAATCAATTCTTAAACTCCAAAACGAAACTTTTAATCTTTCGATCCTCAGAGTGAACCATTTTTGCCCTCCGTCAGCAAGGCTGGTGCTAACCTCCAGAATAGCAACTCATTGTCCCTTCTCACGTTATCTACTGATATGGTGTAGAGTGGTTATACTGAATCAATTGCTAGGTCTGCTTCTAAGAAAGTGTTTTCGCTATGCCAGAATTTTTCAAAATATCCATCTTGCACATTTATAAATGTGACCTTGCCTTGAGTAATATTACGTTATCTGGTCTAGAGCTCCTGTAATTTATCTTGGAATTCTCGGCAAAATACAAAGAAGTGTCTGTAATCTTACCGGTCCTGACCTGGCATCTCGACTTCAGTCACTTTCACACCGCTTTGACCGGACTTCTAATGAGCTAGCCTCCTTGGTAGCCTCACCGCATGAATTTAAGCATCATTGTCTTTCTTGGGGTAAAATGGTTTAAAAGGCTTTTCAGCAGTTTTCAGTGTCTCGCGTGGTTGTTAGTACCATAGGAGACGGGGATCTTTTTTTAGTGAATGAAATGACTAATAAATGAAAAGTTAGAGAGAAGACTGAGAATAGGGAGGAATGAGGAAAGAATAAAAGATCAACAGGAGTTAAGAAGAAAAAAGATGGCGTTGAACGTTGCATTTAAAGTTTTGAAGAATGAAGTTATCAGGGAAGCAAGTATAAGGAAGGGAGTTCCACGGGCGGGAAGGATGAGAAAAAAACTGTTGGATTAGTAGTGGCTGTTGCATTTAGCTATTTCAACAGTAAACAGGTTGGGACCTAGATGCCAATCTAGTAGCACGCTTAAATTCATGTAGTCGGTGCACCAGGGAAAAATCTCGTAAGAGCAATTGAAAATATTCGTAGAAAAGACAGAGGGAAGCCACGTCACGTCGATGAGAAATTCACTAAAGTCGAGATACCTGGTCAAGATCGATTATATTAAATATCCTTCTTTGGATTTTGTCAATAATCTCGAGTGTGTCAGTATTACTGAGGTAACGCGTTGGCAGTCTACCACTTACGCAAGAGATTCAGTGAATGTTTGGATGCCAGCATGGTCAGGGACAAGAGGATTAAGCCACCTGACACGGTGGGCATCGAAGTCGGCGTACACAAATATATTTGCAAATGGGTGTAGAGAAAGGTCATTATCTATATTATCAGAAATACTATCTTTGTACGCAACAGTCATATAGAGGAAGGAAAACGAAAAAAGATAAAACGAAATAGTTGACTGAGTTTATTAGAGAAAGACGGGGACACATGTAAGAACGGTCTGGAGATTCAAGAGAGAGTTCCTATCCAGTAGTAGATATTCCCGAACATAAACACCAAAGACATCCATGTGGACCCTAGAGTCATTCAAAAGAGAGGAAGAACCATGAACCGAGAATTCAGAGGAGTGGGTTGAAGAATTAAGATTAGTTTCACAGAGATGCTGGATACCAGGTAAGTGTCAAAGAGGAACGATTCCATATAGCAGGAATTGGTACGAATACTACGAATGGAAAAGGAAAAGTTGAGGAAAAAGCTTGGAATATTAAGTTTCTGTCGGTCGTCTGAGGTAACATGTGCAGCCTGCGAATTGACACAGACTGCAGCATAATGTGGATTAGAGTTTACCCACTGGAAATGCTTGCAAGGACACCTTTCCATGCGGGACATGGCACTGCAAGAACCCCGATATTAGAGAAAGACGGGGACACCTTTTTAATCATTTTACCCCGTGCAAGGCGGGAATGTCACTGAGTACGTAAGGGAGTGAGTTAGAAAAAAGACTGAGTATAAGGGTGGACTGAGGAAGAGACAATAAAAGATGAACGGGATTCAAGAATATAGAAGATAACGATTGAAGTTGCATTTAAATTTTTGAAGATTGTAGTTATCAGGGAAACAAGTAAACAGGAAGGGAGTTCCAAAGGCGGGAAGTGCGAGAAAAAACGTTTGGAGTAGAAGTGGCGATTGCATTTAGCTATTTCAACAGTAAAAAGTGGGATCTAGATGCCAATACAATGGCACGCTTAAATTCATGTATTCGGGGCACCGGGAGAAAAAGCATGTCATAGCAGTTTGCATGAAAATATTCGTAGAAAAGACAGAGGGAAACCACGTTACGTTGTTGAGAAAGTGACTGAATTCGAGATGTTATATCAGGATCGATTACATTACAGAACCATCTTTGGATTTAGTCAAGAACCTCGAGATGAAAGCCAGGAGCACCAGACCAGAATTACACACTTGGCTTTGAAATTGTGAGGCTGGGACTTGCACCATGACATTGCAGCACTTAGCACCGTTTAGTTTCACTCCTCCGTTGATTTTGAATGGCCCATTAACATGTGTCCAGTCCATATCATTACACAACTGGTTCTTGCTGTCTTCTTTTAGTTACGTCCATTTCTGCATCAGATAAAATCCCGTCCATCGGTGCATCCGTCAGGTTCATTAAACATCACCTGAGATATGTCTGTGAAAATTACTTTAGAAACGTCAATGTACATGTATTCCTTGGCACGATTGTGACACTTTAAAATGTTGGCTTTGCCGACAGGGGTTTCCCTAGAAGACTTCTTAATGGATCCCAATTTCCGATACATTTGACTTTTTTTCCTTCTTGACTCACTCAATTCCAGTGCTTGTATGAACGTGCATATTTTACTATAACTAGCTTTAGATTAATTTTCTCTCAATATGACAAGTTCTTGAAATTCTTTTCTTTTATTTCTATTCCATAATTTAGTTATAGTTTATTTCTTTTTTTGATCTCTGTTAAACTTTTCATATATCCAAAAACAGTTGTAAATTTTTATGAATTTAAGTTTGTTACATTTTTTCATTACCTGTTAAATTATTTCAATGTCTCAATATATATATATATATATATATATATATATATATATATATATATATATATATATATATATATATATATATATATATTAATGGTAGTACTATATTCAGGACATAAAAAATTGAAAACGAAAAAAGAAAGAAAAGAACTAAAAACATCGGATCAAGACGAAACAAATCGCCAATTGCTTAAAGCCCTTAATCCAAAGAAAAAAAACCAAACGAGTAGAAAGAGTAAATACGTTAAATAGAGCGATAATCTAGAATAAATCTTAAGGATCCAGGGAAACTTACCTAGGTAGGTTTATTAAATATATAGGGATTTATTTTTATATATATATATATATATATATATATATATATATATATAAAAAAGTTGCAAGTTAAAAAAATAATAATGTTTTATTTCATGAAAGTATTTATTTATTTTTATATATATTTGATATTTCAGATTGTCCTCAATCTTTCATCAGAAATAACTGCTACAAATAAATTAAAATTACTGTTTGTTAGCAAGTAGCGTCTGTCGCGAGACGCGGACGTCACGTGATATGGAACGTCACTGTTCGGATATTCCTAACTTAAATCTAACTGTAATAAATATTTTAGATGTTGTTTAAAAAAATAAAATGTTTTGTTAACTATATCTAAAAAAATGCTTAAGTATTGAAATATTTATAAAGATTTAAAATACCTAAGTCTTTATTTAACCCTAGTTTATGTGTATTTAATTTTAAAATCCAATATGTTTCTTTTTTTCTGCATGTGTATGTGGAACTAAAATCAGAATCTATCAATAAACATTTACAGTTTTCTAATGAGTGTCCTGATTGATTAAAGTGTTTAGCTATGTGGGAATAAGGATTGTTTTGACGTCCGGTTTGTTTATGATTATTGAAGCGAAATCTAAAATTACAATTGTAACAAACCTCGTTGCTTAGTTTGCAAACATTTCATAATAGATAATATATTTTCTGTACCCAACACCAATATCAAGATACACTCACCTAACCTCACCTGCGATAGCCAATACCCCAATAAACTATATTCAAGTTTTATATATATATAAAGACATTTTTATGTTCATACATTTTTTTATAGATACAAATATTTAGGTAAATACTTTGTTTTATAATAAACAGTATTAACATTTACCAACCTGAATGTCCGAGACATTTTCATAGAAAAAATTCGTTCTCTGACAGGAATCGAACCTGTATCCTATACGGAACCGTCATTTAGCCTGACGTGCCTTAACCGATCGAGCCACGGAGAATCGTTCGATCGGCGAGGTCGATCTTACTGCTTTTAAACTTCAATCTTCCGTATGAAAATTTTACGGATATTCAGGCCGGTAAATGTTACTAATACTGTTTATTATAAAATATTTATAGAGTATTTACTTAAATATTTGTATCTATAAAAAAAATGGATAAACATAAAGATGTCTTAAAATAATTGTCGGACTTTGTCCATTTCATGTATGACGTCACATATTATATATATATATATATATATATATATATATATATATATGCGCGTGTTTAAATTATATATATATATATATATATATTTATATAAAATAAATAAACTGAATGAATGGCCAATACAACCAATCACCTGACTGCAACCCCATTGAGTTCGGGATGACTTAGACAGCAAAATCAAAATTGAGAACAAAGTTGTGCAGAAACTCTATCGACATTATTAAAAGAG